CATTACGTGATATGTAATTCTCTATAATTTTAATTTTAAGTTATTTAGTGAATCTTTGACTTGAAAGTCCAATTTTTTTTTTTTTTTTTGTAAACTTGGAAATGGAACCTGAATATATATATAATTATATATTCAAGAATCTTTGCAAAAGAGAATAGGATATTTTAAAATCAATGAAAGCATCGTTCAAATCATACGAGATCGTTCATAGACAGAGGAAAAATAAAAGGAAAAGGCATACAAGAATCGGTGATTCTTTCTTCTTATCAGAGAGGCGTGACTTTACGAGGTTACTGATAAATGATAATTGTGGAGACTTCTTATCGAGTCATCCAGCATACGTGAAACTACAATTCTTGTAATTACGTTCTAAAACACTTTTCACCTTGTGCCAACCTGTAGCTAATTAATCTTTTCCAATTCTGTAGTTAATAATCAAAGAGATATAAAAAAAAAAAAAAACGTACAATGTAGTACGTACTATGCTTACAAAATACAAAAGGATATACATTTACAAGAGTATTAGGCTATTAGCTTTAGAACTGATTTAAAAAAATGTTTTTGTTCCTTAGAACAATTTACTCTCTTGTGTTAGATTAGATTAAAGTCTTTAAATAAAATAGAATTGAACAGATAATAAATAACTTATATAGATTAATTTATTTTAACTTAAGATTACTTATTTTACTTTCTGATTCATAGTATAATTTGATGTTTTTGGAAATCTTAACATTTGCACATATGTTTTTCCATTTTCTACCAAACGGTCAGCAATATTTTAAAACATAATCATACACAAAGTTGATATAATCAAGTGATAGATTTATAAAAGAACATTGAATTTCGTGTTACAATGAACAGTTATATGTATCCGTCATGTTTGAAAGCTTATATGGTTGTAAAATAGTATGCTGGTGTTCTAAAAAAATTTAGAAATCTATTTGGTACAAAATAATGAAGATTTATGAAGTAATTTCAAAGTGATAAGACTTTTCATCATTTTTCATTATAATCTCTCATTTTCAAAATTAAGCGAATAGAGCAAAACAATTAAATTTGCAAAGCAAATTACAATGCAAGATGACCAAACAGTCACACAGAATATGACACATCCGAATTTTCTTTTATGTTAATACATCCCAAAGCAAGTTCTATAAGAGGAATCAGGATGTCCCACATACCATGCCAGGGCAAACAGCGTCAGTTGTAAGATGAATGTTACGCTCTATTAGTAAACGGATTCGCATTATACAAATACGATGAAACTTCTTTTTACTGAGATCAAAGAAGATTTACTGATTGCAGTAGATTGTAATTAGATTGTAATTAGATATTTTCGAGAACATTCAAAATAATTATCCAAACGCCATCATTTTACTTTTGATGTGAGTGATACTCCCAAAGATAAATTAATTTTTTCGTTATTTTTCCATTCTCTAATTTCAGAAAGAATTTACAGATAAATGCTATTGTAAATAAAGCATCAGACAAATTTCTATAGATTTTTACCAACAAATCCCTATAAATTCTTGTTTTTTAAATCACATCACTGATTTTCCAATGAATGATTCCTCAATTAGACAAATTGCCCGTTTCTTTTGTAAAATATTTTGAAGACTGTTTCAACATGTAACAATCAATATGCACGAGTTACGTGAAGTAACAAATTTGCCATAAAAGAGAGTCATAGAAGCGTGGTAATGAAGTTTACCAACTTGCTTTAATCCCGTTTACTGTTTCATGGCCAAGATACATGTATGTAGCCAGTGAACACGGTACAGATATAAACCGCACAGGTACTCTCGCAGTAGCGGCAGCGTGTCCACTTCTCGGTTTCAAACACGCCATTAACTCCATCTAGAAATTCATTTTTCCTATATCAACTTTGCACTTCGCGGCACGCTCAACTAGTTGCCTGACAGAATTGCAACAGCGTCGAACCGTTAACTCATTTGTAAGTCGCAAATTTCACGCTGGCAATTTATATGTATATTCAAAAGTAGCAAATTCCAATCGCCTGTATTGCCATAATACAATAATTATGGAAATGCCATACACGTATTAAAATTATCACGTAAATATATAATAGCTTTAATGTGGAGATTATTATCTGTGATATGTTAATAAGATTAAACATACCTCTACATTTAAAATAGGAAAAAAGAATTGAACTTTGAAAATTGCTCGGCGTCTTTCACTGCTATCTCGCCTGTTACGCCACTGACTGTTTCACGCGGCGTTGGCGTGCATTGTATTTGACGAGGATCAATATCCTCGTGTGCATCATCACATTCAAAATCCTGATTTTTCGATTGAACATCATATTAACGTGTCATCTACCTGGAACTAACATTTGTTACTATCTCGAAAACGCAAATATTTACATTTTGTGTACCAAAGTTTCTAGCTTTATGAAAATTAATTTATACAAGAAGTACGAACAATTAGAAGTTTTGTACTATTTAACAATTAATAGTTCAACAAATGCCAATGATACAAAGGTTCAACGTAACACATACAAATTCAATGAACTTCTATCATTTGTAATTGCGAAAGAACGACTTGAATCGGTGCCCCATTCGCTAAGCATCGATGGATGCGCGTGGATGCGCATACGCATGCGCATACAGCCTTAATGGTCAAGAGAAGACAAGAAAAGAAATGTAGTAGAAGGGTGGGGGGATCAGGTAAGAGAGAACCAATCATCAGGCTCGCTCATCTCTCTACGAAAGAGTTCCTCTTTGCCGGCGCATACCGGACATTCCGTTTCTTCACCTTGAGAGAAGATACGTATACCACGCACTCACGCAACATGTTGTGACACGCACTGCTATTCCTTTCGCATTTCATGGAGAGACATAACCGTCACACACGCACATACATACACATACGTGACACGCGCATGCGCAACTTCGTACGTACTTTTGAATAGCGTTCTGTATCATGACTGAATATAGTTCCAAATCAACTGGAAAGAGATCGATTAAATCGATTGGAAGAAGGGATCAAGAACAGATACTATAGAAACCTGCTAGAATTTTAGCTAGTCACACATTTCTGGATACTGGCTCGTAGACTGCCAATCGAGGGCACTTTCAATGATACCAAGCATGCTGCGGAGAATATAAAGTAGAATTTCACGCCGAAGAAGACAATTAATTACTTTCGGATTGTTGTACCAGCAAGGTCGACCTCGAGGTAAGCGAGCACATAATACCAACACGTTTACCTTCCGATTGTCCGTGCTCCTTCCTTACGTGTGTTTTCAAGTACAGTACTACACGTGAGGGTAATTCACGAGAAGGTTGCAACGAACCGATTCTCGATTACAGTTTGAAGATTGAGGAAATTGTAAAAACTTCAAGAGCTACGATAAAGATGCACAAATAAGTCTATCTATACGCAATATACGTTCAGATTTTGCGCCATCAAGAGAGAAGCATTTGTGCTGTGTTGCAGTAGATGAAGAGAACGTACTATTAAAAGTCTTCATTGAAAATATTTTCTCCTCGACATTCACTAATGAAGTCACGTATCGTGACCGATGAGCCGGAGTTACTTTATTGCAAAAGAGCAATGTTTATCGTGCAGAGTTTCTTTTCCTGCGTATACATTTTAGAAATTTTTTAATTTCTCACAGCGCTTTTTCTCAGATTTCAAACGATTTCGGCGTTATAACACAATAGCTTAATAATATCGACGTCTAAATATAGCAAAGGATTCAAGTAAAGATACAGTCGTACCTAATATATTCGGGCGAATAATTACGTGATGTCTTCGATCGAATGGTCAAAAACTTACCTGGAACAGAAAGAAAAAAACGAGATTAGTGAAATATAAAGTTTATATATTTTATATATGAAAATATTAAGCATTATATATATATTTATAAGCGTCATATATATATATTTATAAGCATTATATATATTATATATATATAATAAAAAATATATATATATTGCTGAAAAAATGAAATAAAAGCTCTATAACATATAAGATACATATTTAAAAAACATTAATGCGTCTTGTCAAAAAAACTTTTTTTAGTCATACTTTAATCTCTGGATTGCGGATGCTTATGAAAATTCAAGTTTTTTTCAAACAAATTAAAGAAGTAGAACATACATAGAGATTTGTTTCACTCATTAAATATTATAACGATTACTATACTTTAGGCTATACTTCATTTATTTATATTTTATATATTTCTGTATATTACACTGTGCACTTGTGTATTTTTGAATCTTTCAATTTTTTACAAATTTATAAACATCCACAGTTAGTCGACTAATTACTACTGGAACAATCTACAGGGCATTCTTGAAACACTATTTCATCTGGTATTTTTATACAAGTATAGTGATTAAATTGATAAAAAGTTAGATATAAATATTAAACTTCAGAATTTACCTCCAAACCTCTTGGTATGAAAAAATCGTGATATACTAAGATTTTAATAAAAGAAAAAAAGAAATAAAAATGAAGTAAGAAACGATTATTTTCGTCGGTATTTCTCTTATCGATCCCGGCGATTCACGAAACGGAAAGTCAATCTGATAAAAGTGTTATGAGCCATAGACGTACATAGTGAAAGTTACAAAAAACGTTGTAGTTTATTTGAAATTGTATAGTCAGCAAACGCATGGTAAAACTTGATGAATATCGATAATAGTTACCCTTAAATCTGATTCTTTGTCTATGAAAAGAACATTCACGCATGATGAAAAATTTAATTTTTATCAATTTTAATTAAAAAGATGGAAAGAGAAAAAAATCCTTAACCAATTAAATTCCAAAGCGAGTTCAATCTTACGTAAATTAACTTTCATTTCTCTACGGAATTACTACCAAATGAAACACGATTATTATTAATAATAATAATTATCATCATTTTTATACTGAAATTGTATATATGTATTAAATATCTACAAATATCTGTTAAGTATCTGTTAAATTATTTCTTTTCATATTTATATTTTTCTTTTTGTTTTAGGATGAATATTTTCTATATGAATGGAATTTCTTCACAAAACAAGTAATGGAAGATTAATAAAAACGTGTATTGCAAATGATACAAAAAAAAAGAATCCAATTTTGCAACCACAAAGAAGAAATATAATTACAAATTTTTGTTAAATGGCTATAAGCATTTAAAGATCTTCCAATCTGTTAAAATCCAATTATACGTGTAATATATATCTAATTACAAAAGAATTTGATAGCACTGGATCAACAAGTCATTAGAAAGGTAATATTGTATTAATGTGAAAGAACAGAGAAAAGTAAATAAAAGTGAAAACTGCTAGTTAGTTTCAGATAACAGTAAGAAATGAATAGTCTGCAAACAGGCCATAAGAACTTCAAAATGAGTCAGTTGCTGTGAATCATCTTATAATAAGCCTTCCTAATTTCGAATAGAATACTCTATGAAAAAAAAAAAAAAAA